CTGCCCGAGACCTACTCCTAGCGACCCCAGTCTGAGCGCTTCACCGTTTGAGCCATCCATGGACTCCATACTCCCCCTTGATAATTACTGTCAAGTCGATTCATACTCTTTGCAACCGCGCGGCAGAGTAGATCTGCCCCATCTGGTTTCCTAAACCATCATCTTTACAAGAACAGATCGCTTGGTTTGACCAAACACACACCTGTAGAGTCAATTCCTACTCTTGGCAACCCTTTCTGTATAGGGCAGCGGTTCTTAACCTGTGGGTCGTAACCTCTTGGTGAGGGGTGGGGGGTGGGTTTGAACGATCCTATCACAGGGTCACCTAAGACCATTTGAAAACATAAAATATTTCACAATATATTATTACATATTGTTTTGTGATTAATCACGATGCTTAAATTATGTTCAATTTGTAACAATGACAATGCATCCTGCATATCAGCTTTTTACCTGAGGATTCATCACAGTAGCAAAATTATAGTGATGAAGTAGCAACGAACATAATTTTATGGTTGGGGGTCACCACCACATGAGGAACTGTATGAAAGGGTCTTGTCTCGGCGTTAGGAAGGTTGAGAACCGCTGGTATAGGGTCTCCAGGGTTGAAAGCTTTGATGGAGGTAGACAAACACACACACTACACCACCACAGCTCCTGAGCTATAACAGCTCGTGTCAGGTGGGCAGCTGGTTGGACAGGAAACAGGATGCTGCCCAGGCTGATGGTGGGACGAAGTCTGGGTTGGAGGGGGCTGCCTTCTGTCCAGAACTGGCATTTGGGTGACCTGGCCAAGGGCCCTGCTGCTACCGGGGCTGCCCAGGTGCGGGGAACGACCAGGTCTGAGTTGCACATTTTGGGGCTGCTGAGTTGTGGGGCTGGGTTAGGGGGTATCAAACTGGCGGCCAGAGGGCCGAATGCGGTCCTCGAGGTAATATTTTTGTGGCCCACAAGGCTCTGAAATAAAATGAAAATAGAAAACAATTGTTATGAAGAAAATAGCGCTTAGGGGAGATCGAGGCAATACTTTACCCACAATTCCCTGGTTACATTCTATTTCAGAGCATCATGGGCCACAAAAAGATACCTTGGGGACTGCATGTGGCCATCTAGCTGCCAGTTTGACACCCCTGGCGGCTGGGCAATCCCCCCACCCCCGTGGACACGCCCAAGTGTCTTGAGTGGGACTCAAGAGGTTGCAGGTGGGTTGTGAGCTGAGGGTGCTGGGACCACTGTGTGGACCAGGCCCTCAGTGTAACTCTGTGATGCCCACATTGGGGGGAAGACAGGAGCTAGCAGTGTTGGGCCAAGGAGCTGGCGGTGCCTGCTCCCGCTAGATCTGTAGCAGCAGGGTTTAATGCAGGTTCAGGGCCCTGCTGCACCCTGAGCCTGCACTATGCTGTTGGGAGAAGCTGGGGAGCTAGAGGGAGTAGGGTCAGACCAGGGTGGGATTTGCCAGTGGAGTGCTTAACCACTGTGCAACTGCACACCAAGAGGTTGGAGGTTTGAGCTCACCCCAAAGATTTGAGTTTGCGCCTTGCAGAATAAGCCTGGGGACGGTGTCTCGACAGATTAGCCTGTGACAGCTCGACTTGCCGATGTTCCATACAGATGTGTGCAGGATGCCCATCAGCCAATTGCCTCAGTGGAAACGGCATTTGTTCTGTGTTGCATTGCTCTGGTTGGGAAAAGGATCCAAGCCCCTTTCAGGTCCTCCTGGGCACAGAAGGGTGTTGGGTGGGAACCTGGGAGCATCCACAGCTCAGCAGCCCCAAATTTGCAACTCAGAGCCGATCACTCCCTGCACCTGGGCCTCCACAGGCAGCAGCAGGGCCCTTGGCCTGGTCAGACCTCCTCATTCCACCCAAATGCCGGCATCTGGGCAGCATGGGCTTACAGCAGCCCCAGCCCTCCCAGGACCAGAACCTGCAGCTCCAATTTGGGGATGGGGAGGCGAGCAGTGGGAGTTGATCCCAAAGAGGCTGCTCAAGAGTAGGTCCTGATTGTATGTGCTGTCGTGGGGTGCCATGGACCCATGAGCCCCACAGGGTTTGCTTGACTTTAAACTTCACAGGAACAGTTTGCCTGGTCTTCCTCACTGAAACAGCTGGGTGGGCTCAAACCACCAACATGTGGGTGAGCAGCGGAATGCTTCACTAGTGCGTCACCAAGGCCTGGCAGGTGGAGGCATCGGATCAGTCTCAACCTCTCCAAGGGCTCCAGGCAGGAGCAGGGAGTGTGCCCCAGGCTTCATGCAATTAGTCCAATAGGATTCTGGGCTTCCCTCCACCTCCACCACCCATCCCCACCAGTCCTGTTCCTGGCCTTAGAGAAAGGTACTGGATTGGGGTTGCAGATTCAGGTTTTGGGGAAAGGGGTGCTAGGCTATTTGTGGGACTCCCAGGGCCATATGGGAGTAAAGAAGGGACTGATGTGTGCTAGAGATCCAGGTGGTGGGGTGGGGGGAGACTTTAGAGTAGGTGGTCCAGAGCACCCACAGAGTAGCAGGAGGTGGGCTAAGTCTCAAAACAAACAAAAAGTCACTACCGTTGAGTTGATTCTAACTCCTAGTGACCTTATCAAGCAGGGTAGACTGTCCCACAGGGGTCTGAGACGGTACCGCTTAGTGGGAGTAGAAAGCTTCATCTTTCTCCTTCAGAGCAGTGGTGGGTTTGAACTTTCCATTAGCAATCCAGTGCTTAGCCCACAGCACCACCGGGGTCCTTTATGCTAGGTATACACCCAGCTGTGTGGCCAGGAAGCTGGGCAGAACCTTCTGGAAGCACACTTGCTGTGGGGAGTCCGTGCCAGGGGCAAAGAGAGGTCTGGGAAGTGAGGAGCTCCCCCCCAGTACCCTGCCTACAAGCACAGACTTCAGACCAGGCTGCCTCCTCCCACTGCAGCTCCAAGTCCTTGGAACCAAGCCCTTTGGGAGGAGAGCATGGAAGAGCTGGATGAGAAGCCCCCAGGACCCCTGAAGGCCCATACACAGGTAAGTAGAGCCTGGCTTCCCCAGCAAGAGGTCAAGCCTGTCCCCATTGGCCCCACTGCGTCCCAGGGAGCCTGTCCCGCCTGCTCCAAGCATCTGGTCATCTGCTTCTGTTCAGATTTTAACAACAGCAACCAAAAAAACCCTGACTCATAGGACAGAGCAGAACTGCTCCTGTGAGTTTACAAGCCGGTCACTCCTCAAGAGAGTAGAAAGCCTTTCTCCCACAAAGTGCCTGGTGGTAACCCATCACACCACCAGGTTACGGGCAAGAAAGCCCCGTGGAGCCGCTCTGCTCTGGACCCCGAGGTGTCGCCATGCATCCAGATGGACTGGACAGTAGTTAACAGCAACACTGTCTTGCAGACTGTTTTCTACACACACACAGCCCACAGTCTTATTCCCTTTAAATGACAATTTCACTGTGCTGTTCATGGAACAAAGATCCTAAGTTACTTCACCAACAGCCAAGATGCATGACAGCGCCATTCCTCCTGGCTGCAGCCCTGCCTTGATCCATTCCCATCCCTCTGGCTCATGCAAGTCCTTCAAGTCTTGAGGGCTGCTGGGTAGTCCTCTGTAGAGCAATTCAGGCTATCGGGGGACAGGCAGCAAACAGCAAGGCAGGTCACCAACAGTCAGCCAGATGACAGGGTCCGACAGTCTTCAGCTCAAGAGATGTAAATTCCAATGGTGTGGCGAAGCAGGTCTTGAAGGAACCTCAAATTACAGCGACACAGTCTACGGGTTAGGTGTCCCTCAGGTAGTGTAGCTTGCAAATTGAGGCACAGAACAAGCAAGGCAGCTGCACACTGGTCAGATGATCAAAGAGCAAGAGGCAAGAAAGGCGAGGCTCACTGAGTCATTTATCTCTCCTCCCTTCAGTTAATCCCACATGTGTTTATCGGCCAGGTTGGCACAATAAACTAACTACCTCATGATGCATGAAGCCAATTAACCCCGAAGGCCCCCAAAAGTGTTATCTGGGAGAAAGGGTCAAGAGATGCAAGGAGACTCATACCATAAGAAGCCTCCCCGCCCTGGTGAGCAGAGGCCCTGAGGTGCTCGGAGTGGGAGGGGCAGGTTCCCTGGGGTGCCTGTGGGGGTGGGGGGCAGCAGAGCCCAAATAGGGTGAAGAAGTTGAGGGTAGAGCTCTTTGGGGTTGAGAAAATGGTCCCACAATCCAGCGGAGGCAAGGAAGGCATCCACACCGAGTGACCACCCAGCAGAGTGAAGAAATTGTTCTTGTTGGAGGGATGGCCCACTGTGCGCATTAGAACCCATGGAGAGAGAAGAAAGGGCCTGTGTGAGGAGGCCGCTTGCTGCAGGGATGCCTGTAGCCACCTAGGGTGGTGGTGTCGGAGCCTGTGTGAGTGCCCTGCGGCTGCTGTGGCTATGTGCCACCACCCGGGTGACTTGAAACAACAGCAGTGCATTCTCTCACATTTCTGGGGGCTGGAAACCCCATCCTTGGCTGACAGCGGCCAATCTCCAGTCTCTGCCTCCACGTGGCTGTCTTCCTCCTGCGTCTGCCTGCCTGCCTGTGTCCGTATTTCTTCTCTCTCTCTCTCTTTTTTTTTTTTTAAGGAAGCCAGTCATATTGAATTAGAGCCCATCCTCCCACCA